CTATTATTGTCATGTATATAATGTTTCATTTTGGGATTAAATTAATATTATTTATAGTATTTTTATTACTATTTAAAATCAATTAAAAATCTAAAATAACGTTTTTTTAGGATAAAAATAAACAAAACTATTAATGCTTTTAATTTTATTTGTTATTATTATATTAATTTATTAGTCACTCTAAGGACATATAGACTGTGTGTTACAGATTGATCATACAATGTATGTGTATTTTAATGAAGTTTTGATATCATATTTCATATAAATTTTAGTAACTATATTATATTGAGTCCAGGGTCATAATTATATTATTGTTATATATATATATTTCTCTGATCATTTTTCTCATAATAATAATATTAAAATTTCATTTATTGCAAGTAAAAACAAAATTTTATTTAATTAGATGACAATTTGAGTTTGAATTTTATTATTTAATAACATATAATATAATAGCATTTCATAAAAATCAATTTAAATATAGGATATATTAAATATTATCAAGGTAATATATAATATTACAAATTTATAATGTTACTATCCGATCAATCACTATGAATATAATGATATCCTGATTTTCAAAACAATTTTTTTGTGTTATTTTTAGTTATTTTCAAAATTAATTTTTATTGGTTTTTCATCACATTTGCCTCAATTTTATCATAGAATTAAATATTATTAAACGAATATTTAGGCAAATTTTTTTTCTTATATAAAATAAAATAATTATGAAATTATGATGAATTTTATACATATTTTCTATAAAATCATAATATATAATTTATTATTATTAATCGGTTTTTACAAGTTTTACACATATTCAACAACAACAACAAAAATTTAATAAATTTTAAAGTCTAATACATATTAGCTTTAATTGCAGGACTTGTAGTTGCTATTGAAGACGTGTTTAATATAAAAATTTTGGTACTATTTTTCAAAATTATTATTATTAATGAGTGACTGACTTTTAAAACTCGCAAATAACTAAAAACAAAACAAAAAAAAACTTGACACCAGATTTAGGTCAACACCATATTATATGTATATAAATATATATACACTGTATAACCACTTTATAAAACATGTGTTATAAAATTTTTTAAAAAGTAACTCATTTTGTATATAAAACATCCTATAAGTATATATATAATAATATACACAAGTTATATCTATAGTAAAGTAATATGAGATTATATGTCACATATATAAAAAAAAAGTTAGTCAATTGAAAGTATGTCTTATATAAGTTAATAAACAAACAAAAAATACTGTTAATCACACATTAAATTCAATGGATTAACAATAAAAACTATTATATAATATCATTGATTTTTATTGAATGTTTTTCAATTGAATGACATTTTTTATATTATTATTATTATTATTCATTTCACTAGTGATTTAATTTCAATTATTATCAGTAATTAAATCTATTGAAGAGTTAAATGTACCGATACTTAACATTAGATAATAGTAATAGTAATAATGATAATTAAATTACAAAACAAGATAACTGTAAGGCTATAAACACTTAAGTATTATTAAATCAATACAATAGTGTGTTATAAATCTTTATTAAAATCAATAAATAAAAAACAACTTAAAGATTATAAAATTGAGTGTTTTTCCTATTATTTTGTGGTTTGTTTTATCTATATATTCGGATTAAGCGATTAACTCATTCAATAATATAGTAATTATTGTTAAGTTTTTAAAAAAATATTGTTAAAAAACTATTGAATTATGAAAAAAATAATTAATTACATTATATTTCCCTTTACTAAAAGTTATAGTCTATAACTCAATTTACCAAAAAAAATAATTAATTAAGTTTTATAATAATAAGAAAAATTATAAATTATGTCTCGTTTAGTATACTATTTAATATATAAAAAAAATTTAACCAAAAAAACTAATCAACAATAATGTATGCATTTCATAACAAACATAACGTTTCCTATATTTCTTAGGGCCACTACTACTATAATAATTAAATTTCAACAAAATTGTTAAATATTATTATTGTTTTAATAATACTATTATTTTTTACTGATTTCTACACGATTTCTAATAATTAAATATTTTTCTTTACTAATTAATTCAGCTCTTAATCGATATTACTTTTAGACTTTTTTTTAATAATAATAATAATTATTATTATATTAAAATTTTAATAAAATAAATATTATTTTTAAATAATCGGCTAATTTTATGTTATATCTTATTATATACATGTAAAGTATAATAAACATCATCTATATTTGCATAAATTTATTAATACTAAAATCAACAACAAAAATAATAATAATTTATTATTTTTTTGTTAAAATTTTTATTGAGGTGTTTATGATTTAAAAATACACAAAAATAATTTTTGTTTGTTATTTATTTATTTATTATTTAATAATAATTTTGCTTATTATCTAACGGCTCACGTGTTTATAATTATAAATTCATTAAATATTATAATTTTTTAACTGTTCAAAATGTATAAATAAACAATTATATTTTTCTACAAAATGTTTTTTAGATTTAAAGCTTTTTAAGTAGTAATGTAAATAAAAATATTTATTTTTTTTATTTCATTAATATGAAAATAATGTTAACTAAAACTAATAATTATTAGGTAACTTATAATTTATAGATTATGTTAAAAATTGGATTACCATATAGTATTTACAATATAATTTATATATATAAATATATAATAATAATAATATTGTAATAAATAATAACATAATAATGTTAAAATTATAAATTAATGATTTATAAAACAAAATAATAATAATAATAATAATATTAAAGAGTTTAAATAACTAAAAATATATTTATTTTAAAATTAGTTATAACTATAGATTTTTTTTAAAAAAACAGGTTATCTGTTCAAAAAATAGTGCAATTTTCTAACAACATTAAATACCACTAATCTTATAATAATTATAATAATTAACATTATTTAAATATTATATTTAGTATAGATATTTTTTAAAATATTAGAAATAAAATATTTTGTAAACTATAAGGTATTAATATAATCATTTAAAAATTTACATAAATTATATTTTTTATTTATAATAAAATTTCTATTTATTATTTTGTTTTAATCTATAAGTTATTGAGAGACTAATTTGATAAATAATTTTGTTTCTTATAATTCATAATAAATTTTACATTTATTTTTATGAATATAATAACTGATTTTTATCACACTTTATATTAATCCTTAAATGTTAAACACGTGTTATATAATACACTAAACGAAAACCGAAAATGTCATTTATAATAAAAATATATAAATAATTTGATTGCTTTAAGGTTTAAAAATTAAATTTTAAAAATTAGTACAAATATTTTTTTCTGTAAAATCTATTTTAAAACATTTAATCCATACATTAATCTAATTGGTAATTAGAAATAAAAAAAAACTTAAATTATTTTTGGCTATTATATCATATATTATATAAATATAATCATAAAATATAAAATTTCTATATATAAGCTATACAAACATATTTTTAAATAACTAAATAAATAATTTTTATGTTATATGATGAGTTAATTTTTAAAAAAAAAATAATAATAAACACTAGTATATAATATACAAATAATTTATATATTTTATTTTATTTAAACAACATAATTAACATAAGATATAATTTTCATTTATTATTAAAAAATCTTAAATAAAGTCATCAGTAATACGGAAACAAACTTATGTGTGCTTTATGTGTCATCAAATATGTCATACAAAAGCAAATAGTTGTGAGAAAATAATTATTGCTTATAATATTATAATATTTTTTTAAAAAATCACATCACATATTCAAGACTTGTGTCCAAAACATTTATAATATAATAATTTAATGATGACAACAAAAACAACAATAATAAAACACTTTTATTTTGATACCGATTTGGTGTCATACCTGTCGTACCCATACCTACCTAACATACCATATATATAATGTTTTATACATAGTTTTACTAATATAATAGAAAAATAATAAAAATTAAAATACAAAACGAATAATAATAATAATATAATGGGATAAGTATGGCGTAAAAGTGTCAGTTTAGTTGTTTATAAATTATTTATAATCATCAGAAATAGCTCTAATGAAAGAAACTTTTTGTTAGATTAAGACATAAGTGGTTTTATTTAATATCATTTTAACTGAATATATAATTTTTTAAAGGATGTATGCAAATTGTATTATATTTGAAAATAGTTAATTTATTACTATTTTACTAAACAAAATATCAAGATTTATTGTTTTTTTGTTGTTGTATTTAAAAACCTATGCATTTAACCAGACATGACATAAAAAAATTATTTTACACATTTACTTATAATACTATAAATTTGATTTTTATAAATTATTTATGTTATGTTATGTGCTTAATATAAGGATAATTTCAGTATAATTTTTCAAGAAATAAGAAATAAAAATATATATTAAATATCTATTAATAAAGTATATGTAAGATTCATATCGCAATTGCATTCAAAAACGAAATCATTGATTTTAATTGCATTTTTAATATTGAAGAAAATAAATGTGTCACAAAAATATTTCTCTGCTTTTTTTTGGAGATTATTTAAGATAAAAAAAATAATTATTATCAAATGTATAAAATTAAAGTTATATTTATAAAATGTATATAAAAAATAATTAATAATATATATATATAAAACACACACAACATTAAACACTTTTATAAAAATGTTTGTACTTTTTTTATATATATTAATACTATAAGCGCTTCCGATAGTAAATAGGAGTATGTATTAAATATATATTTATACCATAATTATTATAATAATGATAGCAATACACATGAAATAACTTAAATGTAATATTATACTATATATTTATTAATAATTCAAAAAAATTGCAGTAAATTATAATAAAGCTATCATTTTGTGTGTTAGTTAATAAAATATTTTTATATATATATATATAAATAATAATTAATTTTGTTTATCGGACACAAACCTTAAATAGTTTATCTTTATTGAACCAAATGTCGTCCTCTTCTTCATATGGATTGTAATTGTAGTCATCGTTAATATTGAGTGCATCTCTACTTCGAGATAATATTCTTCGACGACTTATCATCTCTGATGATATGATTGACGACGAAGAAGACGAAGAATTTGGAGCACAACTGCAATGAAAAAACAAAACAAAACAAAAATGATATACAAGTAGTGAAACAAATAAAGCAAAAAAAATAAATAATAAATATATTAATTCAAAAAAAAATGTGAAAACAAAAACAGTAATAAACCTTTTTTTTGCTATCAAATCGTGTGATAAAAGTATTGTCTGTTATTTTTTTGTAAGTGAAATCAAAATTTTTTTTTGTTTTTTCAACGAAAAACTTTTTGTGCGTTTGTAACGCATAATCAGTGCAAATCATTATTCAATTGTTTCATCCATTAAAATCATAGATAAATAATAATAATAATAATAATAATAATAATAATAATATATTATAGCTTTTTTAGTAAATACAACAACAACAACAAAATGTGTGAAATAGTTTTGTTATCTTAATTATTAAATACCTGTATATACTGTATATATATTGTTAAAATTCTCACTAACATTCACTAACATTTTAAAATACATTACATATATTACATAATATTATGAATTTTTATGTATGTAACAAAAACATTATATAAAAAGTAAAATCAATAAAATATAAATCAAATGATAATAACATGAAATTAAATATGTTTAAGCAATAAATAAAAGTGAAATTATTTAGTAAATAAAATATCATTACTTTTTTGAGATAGACTTTATACTACACTACTGTATATAACACTAATGATTGTCACACCAGTTAGTGTCATATATTTAATAAATAAATAATTTGTTTGTGAACTCATTATTGCATTTTATTTTATAAATATGTTGAATATTTTGCAATACAAATATAATTAAAATTATTATTATTTGTTAATCACTTATCAATACATTTTTTTATTACCAAATATACTAACAAAAAATACTGATTTCAATTTAGGCATAACATGTGTCAAATCATTAATAAAATGTTAATAATTTTTGATTCAAATAATAATACCTACAAAATAAAATCATGTTTTATTTCAATACAATATAGTCATTAATTTATGGATTAACAAACCGTTTATTGACATATTTTTTATTTTGCTTTAAAAATAAACATTTACCAAATTGAAAAAAATCATAAATATATTTATGGGACTTAGCAAAAAAAAGTAATTTGTATTTTTGTATAAAAAAAATATTTTAAATCAATATTAACAAAAATGCTTTTTGTGTGTGTGTTTGTATTTGAAATTAATTTTATCAAATAATAAATACCGCACTTAAAAATATGTTGAACTTTCTTATTAACATTTTATTTATTTATATTGTTTTCATTGCTATTGTATAATAATAGACAACTGTTTAGTACAGTAGAGAATTAAGGCCAATATGTGGTAAACAATTTTTATTATATTAGAAAAATACTATTATTTTTATCTATTTTTCTTATTTGTTTAATGTATTTTCATTTTTATTAATAAAATTTAATTTTGATTTCTTTAAAAAAATTTTAGAGAAAAAATATGTTTGATTGAAATTTTAAATAAATCAATCGTTTTAGATATTAGTTTACTATTTTACTTATTAGTTATTGTTTATTTAAGATCAGGATTTTATTGAAAAAAAACTAAAAGTTTAATTGAAAATCATTTATATTTAAAATTTATCTAAAAATACTATTGTGTAATAATCATAATTTTTTATAATTTACAAAATATATTTAGAAAATTCAAAAACTAAATTTAATAATATTGTAGTTTTATTATCAAAATTGTCACTTTTATTGATATATTTTTTTGATATTACATTTAAAACTTTATTTATAAATTTATATATAGTTTTTTTTAAACATAAAACCATATTATATTATTTTTTTATATTAGTGATATTAGTATACAAATATTTTTATTATTTGACAAATTTATTTGATAATAACTTAATAATAAATTGATGATAAAATCGCTATAATTTTTTACAACTCATTGCTCACAAATAATAGACAAATTTGTTTAAAAAACTTTAAAATTGTTTATAATTTTATTGTTTTGTTTTGTTTTGTTATATTATTAAACCAGTCAATTGTTTAATATCGTAAACACTAAAAAAATAATAATGTGTATTTTCGTAAAACAAATCTATTTTTAATCACTTTTTTTGAAAAATAATATAACTCTCAAACATATTTAACTATAATTATTGGGCCCTTAATTTTTAACTATAAAAATAATATTTACCCAAAAAAAACTATAAGTAAAAAAATATTTATAAATAAAGAAAAAATATATATTTTACCTTAAAATTGCTTAAATAATTGTAGGTTTTTGAATCTGATGTTTGAATTTTATATGTGTTAACGATTTTTGCTGTTATACTGTATACATACAAATCGCTTAATAATATAAAAAATAATAATATAATTCACATTTGAAACTAAAACAAAATCATGATTTATATTGTAATAATTACAATTATTATGTACACTATATAACAGTTATAACAGCCTAATAATCACATTATATAGATTAATTTTTTTATATAATAAGAAATGTGTTATATTATAAAAAACACATTAACAACAAATTAAAGTTTTATATTAAACATTAAATTTATAATTTTATAATATTATATCCAAAATACTTGCTAAATATAACTTATATTTAATAAATAAGTGTTTATTTATTAACTTTTGCGGTGCTATCGATGAAAATTATAACACAAAAATTTCGTGTAAAAAATATTTTCATTATTAAATAAGAAAATTATTTATTAATTATGCAATAACTATGTAAATAATGTTATTGTAATTATATAATTATAATAATATCTATAAAAAATTATATAATTTTTTTTGAAAAAATAATAATAAAAATTAACCTATTAAAAAAATTATAGATAGCAACCATCTGTTTGTTATATAAAAATAATATTTTAATCAAATAATTGGTTTGCATTTTGTATTCAAAAAAAAAACTTATTTTGAATACTAACTAAACATATTAATAAACAGTACATATGATAATACTTTACATTATGTAATACATACTATGTATCATATTATATAATAATAATAATATAGAAACAATGTTTAATTTCATTAATTATTTTCATTGCATTTTAAGCAGTAAATTAAAACAAAAAATAGTAACTTAAAAAATTTTTTTAGACTCGACATTTAAATTATATAATACATGTATACTTTAATAATAATAATAATAATAATATTAATAATAACAGTGAGAAATTATTAGTATTAAAAGCACAAAAAACTTACACACATTTCGTGTGTTTGTTTGTTAGTTATTATTATATTTTTTTGTTATATTGTTAGTTATATTAAACCAGAGGTTCACATAGTTAACCACACGTTAAGCTAATCGCACAATTATAATATAACATCATTAATAGTTTAATATATATATATATAAATATATGTGTATAAAATTCATTCACACAAATTAATAATAAAAATAATGATATTATATTTATTTATATAAATAACAAAATAGATTTTGAAAAAAACTTACCAACGATTAGCTATTTGTTAATAATAAGTTGAATGGTTTGATTAAAAATTGTTTGCAATTGAAAAAAAAACTTTTAAAAATTAATCAAATTATTATTTCTATTATTTAAAACAATTTTTACAAAACAAATTACATTTGATTTAATAGTTGTTTTTATATAAAAAAATACACACAAAATAATTGTGCAATAAGTCAATAGTAATTGTTATAATTAACTTTTTATATACAATTAGATATATGTATCACTTATATATTATACAGTATAATAAGTAGCAATAGTTAATCATTTATTATAACAACCATTACAAATACCGGTGAAAATTATTTATTTATTTAAATGTTAATTAAATACTTGAATATATATATATATATATAGACATAGAGAGAGAGAGACACCAAATTATTAACTTTTTTTAATTTAATTATTGTTTTCATTTAACTCATAGAAAAAACTAAACGAAGAGAGAGTTCAGACACCGCTCTCTCTCATCATTGATAGCAATGATTTCAAAAGGAGTCGATGGCATAGCAGTTGTTAAGCACTGGTACTACAACTCCAGATCCCCTCTCAAACAGAAACAACAATAAAAAATAATAATAATAATAACAAGTGTCTGAAAACAACTTGACTCAAACTAAACACCCGTCCCGTTACGTCACTGTCCTATCTCTCGGTGCTCTCAATTAGGTTAGCAGTGATTTGTGTGTAGAGAAAGAGTGTAACTGAAAATATTGTATATAATATATGTATTATACACTGTATTAAATATTAATGCATTTTTTGCTAGACTAAAGCACAGGTAGTTTTTCGAGGGCCATATTACATGTGTAATAAATATTAGTGTTAATAGTTATTAGATGTATAAAAAAAAACTTTGAAATACTATATTTGTCTTATAAATACTAACTACATATTGATTTTAAATAACTAAATTAAATTACTTTAAATATTTTTTTAAAAATATGATATTTTTATTTATATATTTATATTATGTTACATACTAGAAATTATTTATAAAGTAATAATAAAATTTGCAAAATAATTTAATAAAATAAATAATATAAAATAAAAATTATAATTTTTAAATTAAAAATACATGATTTTATCTTATTTAACATAATTATCTGTTTATTTATATTTTATGTTTATATATATATTATAGTTTGGATTAACATAAGAAGTGATGTAAATATAAAATAGTTTATATATAGCAGTTTAAATTAAATCATAGTTAAAAAACAATTGTAGATAAATGAAAACTAAATTTAATTATACAACTTAATACGCTAACTGAAAACTAAATTTTACATTTAATTTCGTATTTAATTAAATTTTAGTTGAAAAATAAAAATCAATTATTAAAAAGTTTATTTATTTTATTTATTAGACTAATTAAAATGCTTAGTAATTAGTTTAAATGTAAGTTTATTTTTAAACCACAAATAAACTATATATATATATATATATATATATATATACTTAAGATATATGTTATCATTAATTAAATTAAAATAACAAAAATAACGAAAACAATATATCTATGTTAACAAGTATAAT